ATTATCTTTGGTGTATGTAGCAAACTAAATTTATGAAATATTTTTAGTTTTGGATAAGTAAAAAGAATATTAAAAAAAAAAAGTAAGAATTCTGAATGAAAAATAATGTTTGAAACAAACTATATAATCTATGTGATAAACCATATTCTTATCTTATTACTTTTTAGATTAAAGATGGGAATTTCTTCAATTGATAAATTGCTATTGAATCCAGACTATGTGCATTATGTAGACCTAACTGAGCTATGAACATCCTGAAAAGAGTTCGCGTCCTTAGATTATTGTGAATGCAGGTGTGGGTATAGATGTGGAGGCATAAAAATTCCTTACTCATATCATCATCGACATTCACATCAATACACCCGTAATGAACTATCCAGTCATCCGCTCATTTGACCAAAATACAATAAGGATATGCAAATTATTTTTCTGTAGGCGATTTTTAAGATGTCCAGCAGATCAACGCCAAAAGATATAGCTCTTGGTTTCTATTTTGCAAATTTCTTTTACATAAACAATGATAATTTTCGTTCAGAACTTCCAAACAGTGCACAATTGGTGTTAACAAAAAACAAACAACAATCATCAAATGTCATTTTAATATATGTTTTAGTCACAATTAAGTTCTTACCAAGCTAAACAAAGAACTGTAATACAATTTTTTTTTATAATGTAATCGATATGATGAACAGAACATAGCAACAAAATTTAAAATATTCATCACATGAAAGAAGAGCTATAGAATAGGTCAATTTAATACATGAAATCTAGCAGTATGCAATATCTCATCGTAATAAGATTCAGATGACTTTTTGTCGAATTCTCGCTCGATTATACGAATTAAAGAAACAAAGATAAATTGTCTTTAATACTCAAAGGTTTCATTCTTGTATAGAAAGTGTAAATTCTGAATTTTTTTTTCTAATTTTACCTGTGTGACACTACTATTATCAATTTCTCCATCAGTAACAAAAACAATAACATCAGATTTATTAAATGCATTTTTTGTTGATTCATTTTGAAATATAGCCGTTGGACTTGTACCACCGTCTGGTCTTGCTGATTGAATATTTGTACATAATTTTGCCGATGTATTCCAAAGAACTATATGATTAAATTGAGTAGCTTCACAAATACTTAATTCAGCTTGTAAAACATTTTTTCCTATTGAAACCAATTGAGATGATGTTGAACCAGAATTATCAATAAATATACCAGTAATAAAATCTAAACAAGAATTATTATTAACACAAAATAACATAAAAATATTCTTTTAAACTAAGAAATTTCATGTTGAAGCTTATTAAAATAGTTATTTACTTTGAAAGAAAAGTGAAGAATAAATCATTATCTTAAAAAAAAAATTTACCTTTTACTGTTTTCAGTTTAAGATCAGCTTTTGGAATAGTAACTAAATATGACAATGACATTTTTTTTTTCGTTTTTTACAATAGACAGAAAAGAAAACACTTATATATAGCTGAATCTTGCACAATCTATACGAAATCAACACTTAATAAATTAACTATTATCGACATTCACAAAAATAATCTTGAGAAAAAGTTTTCGAAAAAAAAAGGAAGTAATCAAACATTAAGAACATATATATTGCAATTTTACGCAAAATAGAAACTTAACAAGCGTGATGCAACCACATATGCAAAACCATTGCATCATATTAATCTATGAATATTACATATTCTTCCTTTAGAAACATATGATTGTCTTGTTATTAACAAATGTAATTAAGTGTTGTAAGAATCTTCTATTATTGTTATTATGTCCTGTTACATGAGACCAGTATTTACAATAGAGTAAGACAATAATAATTAAGAAACTTATGAAATCAAAATCCTGCTTTGTTATTGATAATCAATGAAAACTAATATTTATTTACATATGATCCTGAAAAATGTATTTCTGTTGATTTAAAATATTTGTCTTATCGCCTTTGAACAATCCTTGATCTGACTGGTTCAATTTTAGTTTTTCAGAAAGAAAACACTTCAACATATACTTATTAACGAGTCTATTTTGACAATTAAACTTGAGAAAAATACGTGCATCTTAAGGTCAACAAAACAAATACAAGGCACATGTTTTTGCTTGCTTTTATCATTGTTTCGATGTATTCAAGACGTACAAAAAAAAAATAGTTATTGCACAATAGCCGGCTAATACATGATGATATTTATTTATTTATTTATTTATTCACTTTTATGTANACTAAATATTTGACAAATATCTTCCTATATTAAGTCTGCTTGGCAATCAGGTTGCCTTCGGTACAATTCTTTAACATTAAAAATACAAACTTACGTAATTATTTTTATTTGAATTTTTTTTTTTGATTGAAGCTGAATTGGAATGAATGCCTGTTGTTTTACTTGAAGAAAAACGAGATAAACAAATAACAATTTATTTATTTTACAATTAATTTAAAATCATCTCGATAAAATTCAGATGTTTTATCTCACAAGTAAAGGTAAATAATATTTATCTGAAATTATATCATGAAAAAACAATGTTATTTTTTAAGATATGAATTCAAAAATTCGATGAAGTAATTTCGAAATTAAAATTGAAATTTATTATTTCATCAGTTTCCAATGTTCGAAGGTATTTTGAATGTTTTTTACATTTATCTTTAATCAGTTTTCCATCAGAATCTATCAACAAAGGGAAACTATCACTGTAGGATACTTGACTAAACGGAAAAATTCATTTTCTCTTGTTTCTAAGCATTTTTATCTTGCTTTCATCTTTATAGTTTTCCAGCTAAAATAAGTGTTGTCGGATTCAGAATGAGTCATTTAAAAACAAAGTGTCAATTTTTTCTTTCCTTATCAATTTAACTATTTTTTTTGTATTTACCCGAGTAAGTTTAAGATTACAAGCACATTTACGTCAAAAGTCAAAGATAATGGTAGTCGATTAAGCAAAAGTAAATTCAAATTACATATTATATTATTTGAAATTCAATTTAATGTTTAGATCTTCCAATTGATCGATCAAAATATTATTCGTTTATCGAGAAAAGAATTTATTGTTGTAATAATAAACAATTATTATGAAGAGATCGTTTTAAATTCTTTGGCTGTTTTTTCAAGTACACATAACAATAAAAACACATGACTCACAAGAAATGGTAAACAATGAAACTTCAATAAAAGAATTTTTTTTTTATTTAAATTTTTTAGATGTTTTTTTGTGAAATGAAATTTATTCTAGTAATTAAAACGATGATTTTGACTAAGGTATATTAATTAGAAAAAATATATTGTTATTTGTTTATCTCGTTTTTCTTCAAGTAAAACAACAGGCATTCATTCCAATTCAGCTTCAATCAAAAAAAAAAATTCAAATAAAAATAATTACGTAAGTTTGTATTTTTAATGTTAAAGAATTGTACCGAAGGCAACCTGATTGCCAAGCAGACTTAATATAGGAAGATATTTGTCAAATATTTAGTGTAAGTCAAAACATTGAGTCTGCACTCTACGGCAAAGTAACGATGAGTTCGAAAGAGAAAAAATTGTTTCAATCTTTCACTTTTGATCCTTTTAAATCTTTACGCATAGTGATCCAGCTTTATATTAGAAATTAATCGCATTTAATTGTTGGCATTGCACCAGCACTAAAATGGATAGTCATTCCTACTCGCAAAAAAGTTCACGGAGCAATAAGAACTTATGAAGTTCCTAAATTTTCCAAGCTTCCTGTAGATACTTGAATATGGTTACATAATGTATTATACATATATTCAATACGACTCTGTAGTTTATAGAGATAGGATCAATTTGTGCTTTTAGCGAATCAAACCGGTCCTATTTCTGATAGTTACTGTAGTATGATTGACCTATAGTCTATGATTTTATTTGTTGTTATGTTGATAAATGCGTTTTCTATCATATATATCCGACATCTACTTTGACCAAAAGTAAGTCGAGTTCAATTAACCAACATTTAATAGGTGGAACGCAACAGCTGATCTTCTTTATTTTTTTGTTGCTAATAATAGTTGACTTGTTTTTTGGGCTTTTCGTTGTTTGTTTCCTTTGAAAAAAAAAATTACAATTTTTTTTTTTTTAATTTAACATTAAAATGTCTAAAAAAAAACAAACTTGCCCATGACTTCACCATCAGAGAGAAGACTAACTAGCTGCTAAAATAAATAATAGTAGCATCTCCATCTACCACATGATTGTTATATCTCTGATATTTTCCTAAACGAATAATCTTTTATAGTTCAAATGCCTTTTTACATGAATATCATCGCTAGAAGAATATGATTAATGAACCAGAGACAATGATAAAAACACGTGACTTTTTTGTGAAATTGTTTTGAATAAGTTTATTATTCAATAAAAAAATCGCTGTAATAATTTAAAACGCATAATGAACTGTCAAGTGAGTGTATACTCATGTTTTCAAAGATCATGCCTTTGAAAAAAATTCAATTCAATTGAAATAAGCTTTTGGTGCCGATTGCCAATTATAGAGAGTTAAGGGGAGAGACAAAATGGGCCCATAAATCTGTTTTCCATTTAATTATCCGAATAACAAAAAAATGAATATTTAATTATCTATTTTAGGTCATATGTGTGTATCATAATCATCAGATTCATAAGTTTAGATTATATCAAGTACCATTCAATAACAATTAAAGTAATTTAAAATGAAATATTAATTTTTATATAGATTCATCAATATCTATAGATATATAATATTTGTGAAGCAAATTTTATTGATACAAATTATCTTTACGAATTATACATAAAATGTTACACTGAAAGATAAATTCAATAAACTCATTTATTTTACTTTTCTGTAAAGACATTGAAATTTGTATTACTTTAAAATATATATTAGTAAATTAATAAAATGAAGAATTATTTTTTTTTTTAAATAAAATTTTTAAATAAACTTATTTTCTAGATTTTTTTTTAATGTTTTCCCTTGTTTATTTATATTTGTTATTGTGATTATAAACAGTATATATGGCTACATCATCTCCACCTGCAACTAATGTAACACCACAACAAATTGGTAAAGCATTTGTTGTTCAATATTATCGTCTTCTTCATGAACATCCTGAATCTTTACATCGGTTTTTTTCTGCATCATCAACATTTATGCATGATGATCCAACAAAAACTGTAACTGGTATAGAAGCAATCGCTAAACGCATTGAAGAATTATCATTAAAACAGCGTCATGTTAAAATTCGTCAAGTTGATTGTCATTTAACTGTGGGTTCATCAATTGTTATACAGGTTTGTGGAGAAATATCATCAGCACCAATAACTGATACTCAAACTCAACCGATTATGAAACGTTTTGTTCAAACATTTGTATTAACACCAGCAGATACTTCAAAGCAAAAATATTATGTACACAATGACATATTTCGCTATCAAGATACTACAACAACACTTTTAACAAATGATAATAATACAAAAACATCGATGACAATAACGAATAATAATGAAGGTAGATTTTTTATGAATTATTTCATAGTTTTTTTGTTTTAATATTTTATCAATCTCGAATGAATAATTTGTTTAAATCTGCAACAGTAATAGCTTCAAAATTTGATTAGACTATTGAAGATATTTGTATGATTTAGAACTCATTCATATGAGCACAAGTCATACTGTTTCATCATTTCAATTTATGGGTTCGATTGAAACAGTTTCAATAGGTTCTATTTAACTGTAGAAAACTGCATTTGTTAAATCGTCGCTTATCTTTTTACTCATGTGACAGCAAATGAATTAAATTCAATCGATAGTAGAAATTATAATAAATCTAATATTTAAGAGTTTTACTATCTACTCATTTAAGAATAATATTGTCTCCCGAGATAGGCAAGTCTAAGTTGCAGTTGGAGTTAACTCCTGAATTGATGCTTTTCTCATCAGAGTTGGAGTGGAGTTGCTCATCTTGGATTTGCTATTCCTCTATTAATTAAATACAATACATATATAATACAATAGCTGATGTCTTGAATGTAAAACATTTCTTCAGAGTGAAAAGTTATACTTAAACACGAGAAACAGAAACAAATTGTCTTTTTCTAAATATTCTCTATTATATTCATACTTTTTCATTGTTTGTTTTTCTTCATTTCAAAATAATTTAATACTGGTAAAGACACAAAAAGTGAATCTTGCATGTGCCAGTTTTACTGTCTTGTTCGTACCAATATTAAATGGACCTCAAAGGAAGAAAGAATATCAATTAAGAAGTGTGAATATAATAGATAATTGTTAGAAAAGATAGTTTATCTCTACATTTAGTCGCTGAATTTATTTTTGTTGAAAACAAATGAATAGAAGTTTTGAAATATAGGAAGGTGAGACTTTTAGGCTTGCCATAAATCGTAATAGACGTATCGACAAAGCTTGAAAATGAAATTTATTGTGTACTTGTTGGAGTTCTACAAGATAAACTTTTTTCGAGTTCAGAATCCTGTTTGCCTCTTGCCGTTCTGTTTTCAAAATTCTCCGATCTTGAATGTCTCGTGGGATGAGACAAACAGGATTTTTTGGAATTATTCCACAGAACTTTAGCATTTATACAAATTACTAAAAGAGAAATTCCTAAATTTATCAACAAACTCAAGATAACTAGAATAATATGAACTTAATATTGCTAGATAAGTTGAAAAGAGTGTCAAGTATGTATAATATTGATTTAAACTGATTCATTAAACAAGTCTTCCTACAAGTAATAGCAGTTATGTCGTACTCTTCCATTGTGACGCCATAGAGATTGTATTAAGAGCTTTTTCTAGGTAAGAAAAACTTGTTGAATTATATCAATCCAAAAAAAGTAATCAATCATCACCGAGTAACTATTTTATAAATTTTTCTTAGTGACATCATTTGATACCCAGTCTGTTACAACAACTTCACCAACAGTAATTGAAACACCAATAGCACCGTCACCTTCAACCAATGTTGAATTTTTCGATAATACAATTATTGAAAAAAAAGAAGATAAAACTGAAACGAAGGCTTCTTCAGTTGCAAATATAACTCCACCAGTAACACCAGTTGTTGAACAAACGAAAACTCAAGAAAAAGAGCAAACAATGAAACCGAAATCATATAGAGATGCAATTGGTAAAAAAGAAAAATCTGCTACTACTTCAGCTGAAAGCCAACCAACATCGGCAACAACAACAACAACAACTGCAGGAACAAAATCAAATAAATCAAATAAACAACAAAAAAAAGCAGCAAAAGCTAGTGGTAATAATAATCGAGCAGCAGCAGCACGTGGTCATCCACAAGATGCTAATGATTATTATGATGATTCTTGGTATTATGGCGCTGGTGAAGAAGGTTATTTATCGACTGGTTATACAGATGATCAAGAAATATTTGTCGGAAATCTTTCAGCTCAAGTAACAGAAAATGAAGTAAATAGTCAAAAAAAACAAAGTGCTGGTCTTTTTTTTGATGGATGAAGTATTTTTATTTAGATTCATGAATTGTTTCGACCCTATGGCACTCTTTTACTTGTTCGCATCGGTAACACAGGATCTCAAGTTGGTGCAGCAAATTTTGCTTTTGTTGTTTGTCAATCAATCGAAATGGCTAAAGCGATTGTAGCTGATCATGAAAATCTTCTAAAAACACAAAAAATAAATGTTGAGGCTAAAAAACGTCGTCCTTTTTCTCATACATTTCGTCCTACATATCCAACAGCTGCTTCTCCAACAAGTTATCAATCAACTGGTTATCCTTCCTCGTTTTATAATCACTCACCATATTATGAAGGTATTTCAGCTCGTGGCGCTCGACGTGGTGGAAGAGGAGGAGCGAAATAATTTCTTCGTTTTTTTTTCTTCTTTTTCGTTTTTGTTTTGTTCTTTATTCATTTGTTTATCATAAATATCACCGTTTCTTTTTTCCTTTTTTGGAGAAAGTGATACTGTCTATTGGTCTTTCTTTTTTCATGTATTGATGAAAAATCTCGGGGATTTGAAAGAAAGGAAAAGATGATGATGATGATGATGAGAACTTTTATTCGGATCTCTACGTCTTTCTATGTGCGATTTTGTTTGGTCTTTTTCCTTTACCTTTTTCATGCTTGTTATCTTTGACATTCAACTTGAATAAACTTGAAAACTAGTTATTTATTATTCTAATAAGACACTCAAGCACAAAAAGTAAATCCGTACAACTTCATTATTGATCCAACCTAGACAATAAGTTTTTTCTATGATAGATATCATCGTAACAATTATCTTGTCATGCTGACAAACTTCATAAAAAATGTTAGCTACGGGATTCGATCAGGTTGAACTATTAGAACGGGTCGGTTTGTATCATTTTTTTACCAGCTTTTTTATTGATTATTTTGGAGCACTAAAGCTGGCCTATTTTGTTCGTTTTTAACGATTCTCATGGTTTTGATGATCAAGAGATATTACCATGGAAGTCTCCAACTGGCAAGTTTCTAGTCATTATCAAAATCCTAGCTGTAAATATTGAAGTAACATTTTCTCATCATACGATGAGACCTTCTGATGATGCTAAACGAATTTATTATGCTCATGAAAAGTTCGTCAAGCATTAGAAGTTAATTTCAGTCTAAGCTAAAGATTTTTCACCTCAAAATTTCGAGCTCACTTCTTTGGACTATTTTTAATCGAGTCTCATAAAATCCCAATAATTAATAATTTTCAGTCTATGCTGTCATTATGAAATATCAGTAAATTTTTCCTTTTGTTGGCAAGATCTTGCCAACTAATAACATCATGCATCTATGAAAATATTTACTTATTAAAATACCTTAAAAGCGGAAGTATAATATAAAAACCGTACGCTTTTGTTCACCTTATCTTTCTATCAGTGATAGTATCCTTTTACGAATTTATATGCTTGCCAGCTGTGTTAAATAATTACTTCAAATAAGAATAGATCAAACTTATCAATTATAAAGAAACCATAACGTTAGTGAAAAAGTCAGCCAAAGCATAGCTTAAATATTGTTCAATATTAGTTGCTGTGAGTTACTAGATCAAACGTTTTAAAATAAATCTTCGTTCATTTTTATTGTTAGCACATGTGCAACGTGAAAAACTAAAATAATAGGTGTTTCTAATATAAACTCCAAGAGTTATATGAATCTTACATTGTATGTGCTTGTAGAAGTCAAGTGATAAACTGTTTATCGAAAGAACTCATTGGTTAATTGATATATTAAACACACTGATATTTTTGCTACTTAGATCAAGAATTTCAATGGATCGATAGAGTCCAGTGGAAAATAATCCAATTGGTTCCAAGTATGATTTTATTATTCGATATCAGTACAACGATAGTGTTAAGTGTAATTAAGTAAAATCTTGTTGTTTATTAGACATGTGTCTATATCCGTATAGTCAAGTATGACGTCCCATTCTTTTCTGAAGTAAATTACATGTATGTATCGGTATATTAAACACTGGCGCATCCAAACATGGGTCGCTGGACAATTGCCTAAAGCTGCCCATTTTTCAGAGCAGTTGGAAGGGTAAATTATCTAGAAATAAAAAATTCTTGCCTATGTCACTAATATCAAAAATAGAAAATTGCATTAATGCCTAAAAAGAAGCAATAATAGCTTATAAATGCCCAATACATTGTCAATGTTTCGATTATTAAGATGTTTTAAATAGCAAATAATATAACTTTTTATTTGAAAAGAAATGAAGAAAATAACAAAAATAAGTGTACACTTCAAATACAACTGCAGCTCGTTCTTTCTTTTTAAAAAGTACGAAGCAGAACTACATAATGTCTGTCTGATGAAAATGATCCAATACTGCACAACCTTTCTTAAAACCAGTGAAAATCGGCCGGTGTAACAAATTTATCGATCTGATTCGATCAAACTGAACCGGTAACAACTCTGAGTAGTAGTGATGCTACTCGAAGTTGATGACTTTCTTCTTCTTTCTTTGACGATGCTTACTTCAAGTAAAAGATAAGATTCGAATTTTAATTAATTCATCACCGTAAATTACATTTACTTCTTTTATTCATTTTAATACAGCAACAAATTGTGCAGCAATTTCTTATGATTAAGGGAAGTGAATACAGTCAATATGATAATTCATTAATAATTCGTAGAATGGAAAAGGAAAGCTGAAAGCATCCACACCTAAGCAAGAGAAGTAGCAAAAAAAATCATGCAAAACTAAAATATATAGCAATGCAAAAAGCATGCAAGCGATAGTTTTAATAAACTCTTACAGACAAAGCATTCGATACTTCTTGCATCATCTGAAGTAATAAAAGAGATGCTAGTCAAGCGTTTCAATAACAAAAAATGCCATAACCATATAAAGCAAACTTGTTAAGTGGCATCTACCCTTGCTGAAGCAACCAAGCCAAAGACATATGTGCGAATATGAGTAATATGTAGAGATAGAAAAAGAATGAAAAAGGCAGCAATAATCGTTTCAAATAGCCAAGTGCACAGTCATTTCACTAAATCCAACATACTGTCGAGCAATACAATTCTTCCTTGTACATGTTTTAATACTGAAAATATAATAGAGAAAATATTACAAGAACGAGTAAGAGAAGAAAAGTGACTTGGAAGGTAGAACGTAAATAATCAGGCACAACTACCGATTAAGAAGCATTCTCTATCATTTAAGGCATATAGAACAGAAAAAAAAAAATAAACTCAACTCAATTTCATAAATCTCAACGTTTTCTTCAATGCAATTGTAATTAATCCGCAAGTCTTGTGCAATGAATCTCACCATATCTGCATGTTTTCGTGGTCAAGTGAAGTTTGGATGCTGTGTGGTTTCTGAAGGAATAAAGAAATAAAAGACGTGCTGTATAAGACTCAACACGAGATTGAACAACAAATGTGCCGAAGAGAGAAGAATATAAAGAAAAAATGAACTTATCAATAGATAAGATTGACGTGAAAAACCTAAAATAGAAAAGAAAATGCTCCAGTTTTCGTTTGATGAAAAGTACTCACGTAAATAATTGAAAGAAAACAAATCTATTGAAATGATTTACTATTGTGTTATAAAAAACAAACAAGTTAATTTTTTGAGGTCAAAACATAATAATAATTGTTTTTTCTTCATCTAAAAGAAAACGATAGACAGCATAATATCATATGAATAAAAACACGAAATTTGTTTCTCGTTTGCTTATTCTTACGCACAAACTGATTACAACGAAAAGAAAAATAGCAATCCAATCTAGAACTATCAATAAAAAAAACTAGTTTTCAATACCTGATAATGTCTGTTGCAAAGCAATGTAAAAGATAATGTAGTCAGTATATCACGCAGCGTTTTTAATAAAAATTTGAAACTAATTACCAATCCATAATTATCTCTACTTTTTAAAAGTTTTTCTACGTTTTTCAAGCGGAAAGCAAAGTAGTTTTTCAAAATCGGAAGTACTTTTGGTGCTGTGACGTTGCTTGAAGTAAATAATATTAAACACATTAGCCTTATATTATCTGTGGATCGATCGCTCGACAAATATGACCTTGTCCAAACTAGAAAAATAATTCCCTATTAATTTCGAATTAAGTTTATATTGGTCTACACTTAGGAATTAAATGCATCAATCAGAACTGAACAATGGTTACTATCATGTAGTCGACGTATATAACTCGAGCACGTACTCACCAAACAAAATGTCACTTCTGTCGCTCTTTGATCATCAATGTCTGACGAACGAAATTTGCTAACAAAGTATCTATCACTCTAACTTATTTCTTTCCACTACAGGCTCGTTAAATATTATAATGTTTCTTATTCTTATGCTCGGGTCTCTATTCAATTACATTGTATAGTTCATCATATGGAAAATATCTATCTATCGATGACATAAAGCAACTTTATCGAGGCATATTCATCATTTTAGTTAGTGAATCAAGTTATTTCTCGATTAGGGCATTAAATTTAATTCGTCTCTGAAAAGTGCATTAATTCACCATTAAATTTTATAGTGTAGACAAGGCCTACAATTTTTTTCTTTATCATTAATAACCACAAGGCTATACTATTAATCAAATGGGCAGCATCATATATAAAAATGCATCCCAAGACAATGTTAGTGATTGATCCATTGTTTATGTCGTATAATTCATGGTGATTCGTTACTTTGTTTCGTGATTCTCTTGCATGAATAGTCTGCTGAAAAAAAGACGAACGCAACAATCATGATACGAGAAGTATATAGCGATACATTTCATCGCAAAAATTCGCTGCAGATGTTAAACGAATGCATACGGATATGTAATGATGATTATAAATTATTTCGATAAGCTAACACTGGATTGACTGAACCTTTCGTTGAAGACAACTGAAGTGAAAAAAAAGAAAAACACCGTTTTTTTCAACGATCATATGGCAAACCCCCTCTTATAAGGGTATTGGTAAAAACACTATGTCAATAAAGTTGATTCAATATTCTAGTCGCATAAAAAATGCTGGAGATTCTATATTATCAGAATTGTAGAAAAAGTAGCGCTGTATCGAATACAATATACCACTATGTTGAACAATTCAGCTATTCGTAATTATCGCGAACTCAAGAAAGCACTAGATTTTTGTGTTTTCGGTGACCAGTCAGTCCATATTTGAGACTTATTTTTCTTTCTAACTGAAGTCCCATTTAGCATGGTTTGATGTGCTTTCTCACGAGGAAGCTGAATATGATTTTAGATTTTATTTGTGACCCTGTTCTAACATACAAAACTACCAGAAACTATTGAAAAAAAATTGTTCAACAAAACGTTTTTGCAGATTTTCGGCTTCACTACTTAAAGTATTTTGATTACATCTTCGTCAATAGA